TCAACTCCCAGAATTCCCCAGCCAGCTGGGAGTTGAAGTCCACACATCTTCAAGCTGCCAAGGTTGAGAAACACTGCTCTATGGTATGTACAGTATGTGTGGAGTGTGTGAATATGGGGGTGGGGGTACTATCAAAAGTAAGTGAGCCCTGGTGTAGGTGATATTCACTCAAGTGCCTATAAAACAAGAGTTTTAAAAAAATTCCTAGAAGAATCTGAGGTGAATCCAGTTCATTTCCGGGGAATATTGATTCTCATCAAAATGAGACCAGGGCTGGGAGAACTCCTCCTGTTCAGGGTTCTATGCTTTTGATGCCCAAGAAGGCTGGCACAGATTACAGGGCTAATTTTTAACAAATTTGGGAGCAGACTGTGAGGTTGATAATGGTTTGTGCAAAGGGCTTTTTCCCTAGCATTGGCTCTGAGGAATTATTTTCCCGTCAGGAGTTTTCACCAGCCTTTTGTCCCTCATTCAGTCTTGGCTGGGATTAGTCTATCGTCCAGCTGACATCCCAGCTGCATTACGAGGGCTCTTCTTTGAGGTGATCTTCCGAGGTGGGTTTTGACCGGATGTTCCAAGGGAGGTTTTGATCTCACATGTTCAATTAGCTGATGAGATCTACTTCCAAAAGCAGGGACTCTCTGCGTTGAAGCAAATCTTGCTACAATTCTTTCCCCCCTTTTCCTCTACATTTGGTAGGTACAGAGAAGATGGCTTGTTAAATCAAGGCTTGACCAAATGTTTTGTTTGTGGAAGTTTAACGAATTGAAATTATTTACTCGGAGGAATCTGTGGAATTCCTATTAAGTCAAGGTCTCTTAAAGAAAGGATTGGGGCACAAGTAGGATGTTTGCCAATGTGGGGGCGTCTTGTACGCAGAATATTGGTTGAGTTGTTCATGAATGAATACCGTAGACGATCTCAGTGCTCAGACTGCCAGTGTTTGCCATGCACCTGTGCTGCTAACAGCAGCATTTAAAAAAAAAAAAAGGAATTAGGAGCCAAATGTTTTATACCCACATTTGGAAAAGCCTCAACTGCTAAATTCCTGCAGGTAGCACAGCTGTTAAAATAAAAGAAGCAGAGCCACAGAGGAAAAAGGGATCACCTTACTCTTGTGTTTCCTTTCTTATATATGAAGCTATTTTCTGTCTGTTCATTTCCTAATCCTGCTTGTGTATGTATGTGTGTTGTGCTCTGAATTCTAGATCTGTTGCTGCTAGTGCGCTACTGGAAAACGTTGGGGGATTCTCTTTTCGTTTGCCACCACTTGGCGGCGCTATACGCTTATGGATACGTATTGGTTAGTTCCAGTTCTGGCGGGGTGGGCAGGAGGGAGGGCTTTATTCTTCATCCTTTTAAAAAAACGGCTGTGCTTCTTCAAACTGCTTCAGTGTATTCTACTTCTGCAGCTATCCGTCACCTCAGCACCCTCCAATCCAACCTCAGTGAGCAAACATTGCTCCCTCCCAATCCCCTGAAGGGTGAGACATTTAATTTCTGTATGTCAATTTAATGTCACAAACCCCAGACCTGCAAAAAGGAGACCAGATGCAGAGCAATACTAAGAATGAAGAGGCCCAGGTTTGTTACAGAAAGGGAATGTAAAGAACAGCTAGATCAGTGTTTCTCAACTTTTGGCAACTTTAAGATGGGTGGACTTCAGCTCCCAGGATTCCCC